TTTCCCTAAGCGTTTTCCCCTGGGCCTGTAACCAGCTCTGATGCTCCTCAGCCTTCACACGTGCAAAGGCGACATCTGCCTGGGCGCTGCTGCAGCGGCAGGCTCACCTGGGCCTTGGTGCTTAGCTCAGGGGGAGGCAAGGCACAAAAATGCCATGTTTCCCAGTTCGTCAACCCCCTAAAATACTGTGCGAAGCCTGCGGAGTTGGTGGCTTCCACTAGCAGCACGGTGGGAATGTGACCTCCTGTCACAGGGGGAGATAACACTGTCACCCTGCCACCTGACCTACCACGGAGCAAAGTGCACAGAAACCCCCCCTCTGTCCCCACCCAGGCTGCAAAGGCCACAGTTTGAGTCTAAAAGCCACCAAAAGAGCAACGCTGAGGAGGAAGAAACAGTGCAGATCACCCCTGCTGTTAACTACTCACCACTGTGTAAACCAAGAGAGAACAGACCCTTTGGATTTCCTGCCACCGGTCAATGGAAACAGCGGCTGCTTGCTTGTCTGCTCCTGGTACAGCCCAAGGCACGGGAACCGCCTGGACACACATTTCTGGGGTTAACCGTCCCGATGAGGACATGTCCCTGTGCGCTGTGCCTCTCCTGTTTCCAACCCAGGACAAACAGCTGGGTGCTCAGCTCTGCCAGCCCCCGGCTGGGTCCGCGCCCCAGCTCCTGCCGTGCGGCCGTGGGGGGACACAGGGGCCACAGCTGCTTGCTAGTGTGTGCGAACCCCGCCTGCACGGAAGGCACAGCGCTGCGTGCCACGGTTCAGGATTACACCCCAGCTGCAGTTTGTCTGTCTGTCTGTGGTGAGTCACCAGTGGATATTTTGGGTAGCTTCCTCCAGTCTGCAGCAAAGGCTGATGCTCGCTGCCCCTGCAGAAACAGCGTGAAAAAGATCAGGGGAACAGGCTGTGTCAAGGAGAAGCCTGAGCGCTCCCTACATCTCACATCATTCTCATTTTCCAACTTGGACAACAGGCTGGGGGCTTCAGTGAATCGGAGGGAATTGTTCTGAGGTGAAGGAGGGAATGTGGCCTCCAAGAAATCAAAAATCATGGCATTCCGTACTCTCAGCGCTACAGTCCCAGGGGGCTAACTATAAGGTCACACACCTCTCCCAACCCTACACAAGTCCTATGGCCTCCCTCCCACTTTCTCTGAGAAGCTGAACTCCAATAGCACCTACAAAAGAGCTGAGGTCCAAATTTAAAAGCTGTGTGGACAGCAGTTACTGCTGTAGTTGTGATTAAAAAAAAAAGAGTTTTCTTAATTCTACCTGCTGCTGCTCTTGTCAGCTGGGCCCTTTGGATGGCAGCAAGCTGGGACACGAGTCTGGACAGAGGTTTTAGCATTCCCTCATCTTTCCTTGCTGAGAGGAGGCAGCTGCTGTAGGCAGAAGATCATGCCTGTCCTCCTAGAGTCCTGGAGCAGACAAAGTCTAAGCAGGGGATAAAATAGAACAAACTCCTCCCTGACGCAAATCTGCAACTTACTGGCATCAAACCACATCACCAAAAACACTCAGTGATGCCTCAAGAGATTATGGTCATTTTAAGACTGGGTGACTACAGATGAGCTGGTGCTTGAGCAGCCTTGCTTGCTTTCTCCTGGCTTTCATCCAGCTTTTTGAAGGCGTATCCTTGCCAGAGGATGGAGGTTCTGCAAAGCGGCAATGAAGAGACTGGAGTGACTGCAACTCTTTTGGGGTGGTGTGGGAACTGCCTTGGTACACTGAGGCAGAAGAGTTTGTGGGCACCACTGCACAACTTACTCTTTTTTGTGCACATTGCAAACTTGTTCGGTGTCACATTGATAGCGACGTAGTTTGTTGCTAACAAGAAATCTTACCAGGTCTAGTTCTCTCTTGGTGATTCATTAGAAGGCAGAACGACAGTTAACTTGACCAAAGGAAAGCTCAGGATGCACAAGAAATACACATGTGCAGCATATTCACAGCTCATGTGAACACCAGACTCACACCAATACACAACATGGCAGCTTCATGCACAAAGAACTAGGCTGGGCTTGGAGAGAGAACTTGTGATCAGAGGGAAAAAAATAAAGCGGTCTTACCATAGAGGAAGAGCATTGGGTATGTTCAGCTGGCTTTAAAGAAAGGCAGACAGAAATAAGCTGTAATAAATCTCCAATAAAAAGCCCTAGTAAACTAGGTCTTGGCTAACACAGGAGCAACAAAATGGTGGAAGAGGGCAAAAGGGAGTTTGAAAGAAATGCACAAGAGTCTGAACTTCTTCCCTAGGATGCCCAGGATCAAAGCTGGCCACAGCAGAAGTAGGTACAACTCCCATTGAATTAGATGTAAGCTGTATCCACTACCACCATGTGTGAATTGCACCCAGAATCTCCTGAGTGCCTGGCATCCAGGCAGTGGACGTACTGATATTGCTAAAATGTTTCTTGTATCACTACTATCAAGTAGTACAGGGGCTGATTTAGCTCCCCAACTCAGATCCAGGCCACGTCTGCACAGTGACCAGCCAGCTTCTAGTGCATCAGTCTGATTTGTAAACCCGCAACAGCCCAGTGCTAAAGCAACACTTTTACTCACGTATCCCCACTCCCTTACACATAGTTCTGGGTGATAACATCGTTGTTGCTAAGACAATGGGTTGGGACAGTCTAATCAGCTCCTGGCAACCCTGCAAGACCCACCGCCAGCTGTGGAGAGTGAGTTGGTAAAGCTGGTTAGCCTGCTGCACCTTCACCCACCTCACAACAAAGCTCCAGGGACCCAATGGCTGTGTCCTTGGAAGCCAAGCTGAGCAGAGCCCTGGTCATGCTTGGAAGAGGCTAACTGCTGCAAACACTCTGCTTGACATTCCTTGATTAACTTCTGGGGCCACTTCCATTACTGAGAGCAATGCTAAGAACACCCAAGGCTGCAATTACCCTTAGGTGTAAGAAGCAGAATTGAAAATTAAATAAAACCAGCTTTATCAGGAGTCCTTCAGATCAACAGTAACGTAATCCTTTATGCCTAACCTCCACCATATGACGCACGTGCCAGACCTGTCTGTCATTACTTCCTGTGACTACATTAGCAAAGCTGAAACGGATATATTTCTTCTTCTGTCAATGGCAGAATTCACCTCTAGTGCCATAGAGGAGAACTGCAGCGTGCTTCTGCTCTCCAGTGACACTGCAGGAAACAAACTGACATTGTATTACCTGAATAAAAACTGTAGTTGGGATACAGTCTGTTTGGTGGTACAGGCAAATGAGAACAATTAAAAACCCAAGGTACACTCAATCATATAACAGTCTTTTGGGTTAATTCATTCGCTTGGTAGTGTCAGCTTTCACTGCTTTTATCCTCCTCTTTCACACGTTTGCTCTTGTGTTTTCTTTTCAGATCACATACAGGCAAAAGTTGGCTTGAATACCAAATACAGGAGTGGTGCCCACAGAGACATTTCTTACAAGCTGGATAAAGATTTTGATTTTGTATTGCTGGGCAAACACCTCCTTTCTAGCAGAAAAAGTTTCTCTGTCTCATCCCCCTTCCTCTTTTAGTTTTGCAAACCATCTTTTCTAACAATAGAAGGACCCTTATTCTGCTAGTTGTTGCATTCCTAGTAGAAGATACAAAGCCCCTTCAAACTAACTGAAGGAAGCCCAACAATTTTCAGCACCTTTCAGCAGTCGCCATCCTCCCTTGCTGACAGTGTGGGTGCATCTGTGACTGACTGGCTGGCCTTGTAGGTTACTGTGGAATATTATACCTTAATTGTAATTTTGTTATTGTTACTGTTTCATCAAAAAGAGCAGATACTAGTAATGTAACAGAGTAAAAAAATCTGTATAAAAGGGTATGACTATATGAGGCACTGTTGATATGGGGTGCTCAACTCGGAGGAGTTGGTATCATCTTGAAAAACTAGAAACCAGTGTCTTTGGCACTGCCAAAAAAGTGAAGTAGAGGTTGACTTACTCCTCTCTTATTCTGAGCTACCTGGCCTGTGTTTTAAGATGGGGTCAAATATGGAGCAAATTATGTCAGTACCTAAGGTAAAGGTTCAAAAGCAGCATGGGCAAGTTCCTGTTAACACTGGCAGGTGGTATTTGTACAAACTGTAGCCCTGTGGGCTGAGGTGCCTTGTGCATACAGTATTTTGTGTGTGAGTATACGAGGGGGAAATCAACACCCCAGCTGCAGGTTGCTGAATACATTTTCTGATACCCACAAAGGTTTGTGAAAGGGGCCAAATCCTACCATTTCCCACCTATGCCAAAAAGTCATCATATGGACCTGAGCACAGATATCCAAGAACCCATTCCTGGGGACTTTCAAGTGTGGCCACTCTATAAAGCCAAGAGCGCTATTTCTAGGTTTTCTGAGAATCTTCAACCTTGCAAGCAATGTGGGTGTGCCAGTTTTAGGACACAGACAGGCACCTGGCACCTGAGAACGTAGTATTCACACCAGTTCACAGGGATGGAGGCACAGTGGTAAGTACTTGGAATTAAAGCCAGTGTCTAAAGCCCATCTGAAGTGGACAAGATTTCATTTCTACAAATCTCAGAACAACGTACAAAAGCATATCCTCATCTGTTTAATGCCTTTAAAGGACCTTTTAGAGAAGCTACACCACTTAAGAGAAGGCAGCTTTGGCTGTCCTCTGTTTTACTTGCAGTCATCTCTTCCCCTACACGTGGTCTAACTCACAAAGGAACTTCAAGTATTCTATCCTGCCCTGGCCATCTGGGGCACGAATAGCACGCACGGAACTGAATGCGCAAGGGAAACAACAACAACAGGGAGATCAGTCAAGACGTGATGCTCTGTGCAACTTCCATTTCAGAGAAAAGGGACCTGAAGTTTAAATCACAAACAAGTCCAGGGGCATATTAAGAGAGATACAGCAGGCAATCTGCAGGCTGAGAGCAGGAAGAGAAATATCTGAGGCAGGACACGTCTGTGTAATGACACTCAATAGGGACGAGTGCAACGAAACTGCTTGGGCTTTTTTTTATTCCTCTTGATGTCACCGTATGAAAAAAGGTAATAGAGATGCTAAGAAGCAGAACAGATCAAGAAACAGAAAAGCAGATTTGAGAAGCCAAAGTAAAGATTCAGCAGG